TGTGTTCTTTCTCAGTTGATCATACACAGTTTCCATTCAATCTGAATTTGTGTGGCAAATCCTCCTTGCAGGGTAGAAGGAAGCATCAGGAAGGCAGGTTGGTGTGTGCTGCTCATCTCCAACAGTAAATCATTTCCCAGCTTACTGAGCTATTTCTCCTGTACCAGCAGAGATCTGATTAAGAGAGTAGGGTTAGAGCAAACTATTCCTCTAGGGATATCTCTACCTCATCTCTACAGGCTGCTGTGAGGAAGCCAAGCCCTGAAGTTGATAGCACATGGCATGGTTAGGCATCATCAGAGCTCTGCTGCAGTAACTCATCATCCTTCTTCCTAGCTTGGTGATCCCTTTAGCCTCCCATTCCTTCCCAGCTGCTCAGGCCAACATTTCCTGACTCACTGCAGCTGGAAGGGCAGTGATGAGTTTGCAGTGCTTTCCTCAAAGTAGGATGGCCAAGTCCATGATGGAACAGGCACAAAGGTCCTTCATTATAAGCCATTAACATTTAGCTGTGGTATCCAAGCATTTGCCTGGTTATCCCCTTCCCTTCCCCTCTCCAGAGTGGTTTAGAGTGCACAGCATCATCATTAGCCCAGGCCTGGCTGGTAATTGCCCAACAGTGAGTGCTCTGCTTGTTCTTCTGGCTCCTCATTGCCTTCAGCTCTGGTGATGTGCTGACAGCAAGGTCCTGCTGCAGGAGGGGCCATGGGGGATCTGCATTCCTCCCTACAGAGAAGGACTGAGCACAGAGATCCAGCTCAGTCACCTGGTGTATACCTGACATGTATCAACTGCCTCTGCTCCAGCACAATCCAGAGGAGAATTTGCTCCCTACCTCAGGGATGGCTGGGACTGTGTACTGGGAGGGACTTGGATCTCCTAGTGTCTCTGATAGCCTCTCTGTGGGGAGTAACCAAATTTTAGCTCTCAGGTGACTGGGAAGGACCTTCTCTTACAGGCTGGTCATCCCACAGGGTCACTGCACATGTGTCCTCTCTCCTCTTCCTGACCATCACCACCTTCTGTAAGACTGTGAAGACCAGCAAGGAGACTGGTTCAATGCTGTCACCACTCTGCTCTGTGCTCCCAAGGATATATTTGCCTTTGATCTGTTCTACTCTCACTAATTAATGCTCATTGACTTCTTCAATGAGGTGGAGAGAGGATGTTTTCCTCTGTAGCCCTTTGGGACAAGAAGAGGCCTAGGCCAGCTGAGGACAATGAGGGCAGCAGGATGGCATTTCGTAGCAGGTTGTAGGTGGTTCTGGAGCACTGGGTTTGGATGGCAAAATATTAACATTAAGTTTGTTAGGCACATTTATCACACTCTTCTGATGCTAATGAAGCCCAGCAGGGAAGCAGCAGTGAGGGAAGGGAGAGCCTAATCAAATGATCCTGAAACAAATAGGAAACAGAGCAATGGCACAAGAGTTCTGGTCAGTGCCTGGTGAGAGGCAGAGGCTTAAAGAAGTTCTCATGTTCCATAAATCCTTACCTGAAGCTCTAGGTAAGGAGATGAACAGCATCTTGTTCCCCAGTTGTTTTGGAATGTCTATGTGGGCAAGTTGTAAGTATTCACACTGCAACTGAAAACATGGATTAGTTGTGCATGGTTTTAAACCATGTAGGTCTTTTCAGACCTGTGGCAGCCAATTGTGCTTTCCCATGATCTTTAAGTTGGTTCTCAGAAATTCTTAGGCTGATCTTGCGCTAAACTGTTCAGAATCTGAGTCATTCATTCAGTGATGCATGAGATACCTTTGGTATTTGGACTGAGGTCCAATCTGTCTATATATTGTCTTACTATAGAAAGGTTGGACTTTCAGAGGGAGCAGGTCAGACCTCAGCTGATGGGATGGTTTGTACAGCAAAGGATGCAGCTGATTAGCAGCTGCAAGCAGAACCATTCATGGGCAGGATGGAGATGACACATCCCCAGTTGTTTTGAGCGAGAGATTTCCCCAGCAAAACTAGAAGGTCATTCCTGTAAGATCCTACCTGGCCTCTTCACTTCGTTACTGAGGTGTGTGGTGACCTCTCCTGGTGGATGGAGAACGTGCCTCGAGTTCAGGTCTGGCTGAAAAAAAAGAGAAAATGGAGCAGACACTGCGAGAGGCTTTGATAAAATGATCACTTCAGTCTCGGAATGAAGATCGTGGTACGTGCAGTACAGGAAGGGGCTGAGTGGCTCTTTCACAAGGTTTGGACTCCAGGAGCCATGGAAGTGTGTGTGAGTGGTCGTGTCTTGGGAAGGCACATGGTTTGTGTGTGATATATGAATGCTTTGGCATGATATTTAAAAGTTTGAGTGTCACATGTTCCGGTGGCTAAGTTTAGTTCCAGCACTAGCTGTGTTGATCTAGACTCTTGAAAAGGATTTTGCAAAGTGCAAGGAGAGATGGGTGAAGGGAGGACATCTCTTTAGCATTTTGTCTGGGGTAACATTTGCCAGGTTTTCCTTTGGAGCCCAGCTCATCCTGGCATAGCTGGAGCAGTGTCACCAGTGCCCATTGATCCAGAAGGTTTGTTGGCCAAGAAGCCAAACCAAGGGGCAAGAGGTCACACTATCCCAGTGTGCTATTTATTGCTGCATGCCATTTGTCAGTGTGGAGGGTGCAGAAGGAGAAACCATTTCTAGAAATGGCTAAACAGCTACAGGAATGAAATGGCACCTGTCCGAGGAGTTGCTCTGGTTGTTTACATCCTCTCTCCCTCCCCTAATGGACTGGTGATGCACCTAAAAATAACCTAACTAGCTAAAAATGTCCTCATTACATAAACCTGCCCTCCACGAAACACTCTGTAGGTTTTGTTCAGCCTGTGGGATAGTGGCACTGTGCACAGTCTTAATTTTGGATCCCCAGAGCAGGATCCCAATTGTCCATTGGCTGTGACACATCTCAGACTCCTGGACTCTGCCTGACTAGAGAGTTGTGTTGGTCAATCCCTGAGCTTGAGAACAGGGAGCTAAACTATCCTGATTTTTTCTTTGGAATTCATGTGCATTATTCTTCTTCCTATTAACATTACAGCCCTTTTCATGGATGCTTCTCATCAGTTCTGCACACTGACATGTGCTCATTAGGATCAGGAGGCAAACCCTTCATGTCAACCCTTGCAAGCAGTTGGTTGTGCCAGGGATGCCATCCTGGAATTCCACAGTGGATGCACACGAGGCTATGTGTGAACAGAGAGAGAGCTCCTTCCTGCCTCGGGTGGGTGAGCTGCAGTGGGGAGAATGCAGCCTCATCCAGAGCTTAGCAAAGCTGCTCTTTCTCAGGAGCTCAGTGTGGCTGTGGTGACTTATCACCCACTGTTCCTGATTTGACAGCCCTTCTTTGTTTTCCCAGAAAATACTCACCATGTTTGCCAAGCTTCTGGAAATAGCTGCATCCTTTTGTGGTGGAGGGTGGCATGGCTGTGGGCCAGAGGGGCAGGATATTTTAGCTGGTGCTGCTCAGCACAGCGTGATGGACCAGCAGCTTTTCAAACACTAACCCTTCCAAGGCTGAGATAAGCTGCTCAGGCTACAGCACTGGAGCCTGTGCTCATGCTGGAGATAAACTCCACTGTCAGTGCCACATTCACACCTCTCCTGTCACATCAGGCACCCATGGCCCTGCCTGTCCCACTAGTCACTTGCTGCAAAGCCTCAGCTCGGGGCTATCAGGTCCTGTGCTGTCTAGTCCACAGAGTCCCCAGGGCCTCTGTGTGTCCTTGTGGTGACATTGAGGTGGCTAAAGGGAATAGTGTGGGCTGGACTAACTTTGTCACCCAGGATTGTCACCCAGAACTTTGGGCTCAACCACTTCCCCTTGGGATGCACTGTCTGGGCAAAGGAGGAATGGAGTAGAGAAACTCCAGGGCTTGGTGTGAGTTGGGGCTGTACAAACACAGGGCTGATCCTTCATGGGAGTGCAAACATCTAATGCACTGTCTGAAATCATAGTAGAGAAATCTATGCAAGAATAATCAGTACTGGCCAAGTAGGGTAAGAACAGAGCCACAAAATCTGCTTTTTATACCAAATAGTGCTTCAGTGCTCTCTGAAACGTGGGAGAACCATCCAAAGGATCTTAACTTGAGCACCCAAAACACATCTTTGAATAAAACCACTTTATGAACAGGTGTCTATGCTGCAAACCCTTAGCTGTGTTTAATTAAACCCAACACATTAGTATGGCTCCTCTTCGCACAGCTGATAGATGCCTTGGAGGCAGAAAATGCTTTTAGTG